CGGGGCCCGTTGGAATAGGTTCCAGGCCCTCTCGAGGCTATCCTTTATTTTCTATCTGTTTATCTCCGCAAGATTCTCCGCTATAAATCCTTCTATCTAATATTTCCTACTGCTCGCACTCAAGAAAACTCTGGGAAGCTGTGGGGGTGGTGGGTAAACGCCCCACACTGGGGATGTAGCTCAGTGTTACAGCGCTTGCCTGGGAAGCGCAAGGCCCTGGGTTCGGTCCTCAGCTCCAGAAAAAACAAAACAAAACAAAACCACAGACAAGTCCCTTGTATGCATTACAGATGCTATTCCAGCTATATCAAACCATATGAAAAACGTAGTTGAAAATGTCCCCTCCTTCTGCTAGGAACACCAACTTACCTAGACGGGCTCTTGTCCTGGGTCCTTGCATCTGACTCCGAAGTTCAGGCCTCAGGTGAAATTTCTTTGCTTCATCAACTAGATCCCTGCACTGTAAACTACATCGGATGAAAGGCTAAAATACAGAAGACAGGAGTGAACACACAGGACATTTATAATACTCTAAGAACAAAATGACACATATAAAGAAGATTTACTTATGTAGACACAAGTACATAATGAGCTGAGCATGCTTCCTTTCTGTAATCCCAGCACATCTGTAATTCCAGCACTTGGCAAGCTGAGACAAAAGGATTTCTGAGATTTCAAGGCCAATTTAGGGCTACATACTGCGTTCTAGGCCAGCATGATGTAGAGTAAGACACTGTTAAAAAAGACAAGACACATGCTCTCTCTCTCTTTTGGAAAAATATGTCTTTTCTGGAATAATTTCCCCGAAGCCCTCTCTCTCCTTCCCTACTTTCTTCTCCTCCCCTTCTTCCCCCTTTTCATCCTTTCTTTCTGCCAGGGTCTCTGTAGGCCACGTTGGTCTCAAACTTACAACACAGCCTAGGATAACTTTAAACATCGATGCTCCTGCCTTCACCTCCGGAGTACTGGGACTATAGGCATGCATTCATCATAGCCCAGCTCCCATATCTACATCCCACAGTGCTCTATGGGGGTTGGAGAGATGGCTCACTTTGGTAAATTCCCTGCCACAGAAGCACAATGACCCAAGTTCCATCACCAGACCCCACGTAAAAAGCCAGACATGGTACCCCACACGAGTGACACCCACACTAGCAGAGTGACAAGCAGATCCCTGGGCTTGATGCCAGCCCAATCAGAAACTCCAAGTCAACCAGTGAGAGACCATATCTCAAAAACCAAGGCAGATGGTCTCTTGCTACTGCTGTGTCTTTCTTTGCATGTCTGCCGCTGCCATTTTCTCTGGTACCTGGCCTGGTGTGTGAATGGGCGTGGGAGATCCCCACTGCCCTTAATGTAGTGTGATTATCCCGTGGATATACATATACATATCCCATTCCACTGGGCAAATTACCTGTGGATTATTATGGAGATGATTTCCTCTTAGCTGTACTGTTTAAAGTGTTGCCCCCACCCCCTGACCCTGATAAAACAAGGGCTGCACAAGATAGAAAAACAGAACGAGGAAATGTCACACAGCTAGTTTCTCTTAAGGAGCCACATAGATCATGGCTTAGGTTAATAATTAAGAAAACAATTGAGTCCCAGAAGCCCAGCTAACTCAAGTTCTATAAATCTTAATGTTGGGAGCTGTGTTTACAGGTTTGTGTGTGCATCAGAGCTGAAACAAAGCCTTAAATAGTGACTTTAGGTTAAGATGACTTTGGTAATGGCTTTGAGGTAGGAAATCTTGGAAAACAATGTAAAGTTTAGAAAGCACACTTTTAATAGCTGAGTAAGGGGCTCACTGAGGTCAAGAGACAAGAACAATGGCAGCCTGGCTACTGCTGGCCGACGGACCTTTCTTGCTAGGATGGGTTGGTGATCAAGGGTGATGATTAATTCCTTGTACCCATTACTGCCCTCAGCTTCCTGATATAAAATAAACTGTTGATGAGTGGGTATGCACCCTAAGGATTTAAATAGAGTTGACTGATTCTTTTTTATATATAAAAGTTTAGATTTGTGAGTCTCTTAAGATTCCTTATAAGATCTTTTGCAATAAGTAATAAAGTATCCTTTCTTTGTAACCTTAAAATGCAGCCTGCCAATAAAAGAACTGGCTGAGAAAAATACCTTGTTTGCTTACATTCTGTTAATCTATAAGAAGTTGCTTATGGGTTCTTGGGAACAATTTATTTTTCACCTATAATACGTAAAACGTTTAACCATGTAAGGGATATGGAAAACATGTTGCTTTTTACTTGTATTCATTGTAATCATTCACTTAAAAAATAGTATGTAGCCATGTTGTAATTTTTATATTGCTTGAAAGATTCTACTGGGGTATATAAGCTGTAAGGGAAAAATATAGACAAAGAGAAGGAAAACACCAGGTAAGATGTAGAAGGAAAGTTAGAAGGAAGACATCAAGAGACAAAAGGAAAACTTCAGGGTGGAAAAACAGAACAGAAAAGGAACAGAGCAGAACAAACAACAGTGAGAATAATAAAATGAAGAACTAAGCTTTGGCCCTCAGACAAGTCCTCGTGTGTCTGTTTGTCTGTCCACCTGCTCTGCATCTCTTCAGTTTCTCTGACCTGCTAAAGGTCTGCCATTCATCGGCACCCTAGGTGAGATCCTGACATGTTGGAGATGTGTGCGCGCGTGCGTGTATGTGTGTGAGTGTGTGTGTGTGTGTGTGTGTGTGTGTGTATTTCCCTTTTTTGCCAGTCCCAGAGAGTTAAGTTTTACCCCTCAGATAGAAAAGTCAAATTGAGTGATTATAGTTTTATAGTTGGCCAACTCTGTGGTTCCCCCTCAATATCTGAGCTGCTGGAGGCTGGTTCTTATGGCAGTAGTACATATAAATTATAAAAACATCATCACAGAGAACTTAAGTTAGAGAAATACTTATATAAAACAACAGAAAGCTCAATTGCATCAAACTAAGTAAATCAGATTTACTAGAAGTAAAAACATGATTTGCTAAGCAAAGCAACTCTTGTCTTTTTTTTTCTCCAGAGCAATTTATAGCAATTTATGATTAACAGAGGAGGGAACACAGTTCATTATAAAACAAAAAGGCAGCAAAGTGCAAAATTAAATTGTGGATTTTCATTTGTGACAGAAGCCTGACTTGCTAAGTAACATTTCTTCTGCCTAGGAAGTTCCCAGCTTTGCCTCTCCAGCAGGCCGGCTGCAGGCAGGGACACTACTGGTTTTTGGTTAGGCACACTAGGCTGTGGAGTTAGTGGAGGTTCCGGATGCCGAGAGCCTCACATGACTTACCTCAGCATCTATCACATCTGTAATGTACCTGGGGGTCAGCAGCGGCATCCGAACATACTGTAAGAGGTCAGGCAAGGATTCTTCTCGCTCCTTCTTGGAATGCTTCACCCAGTTGATGACAGCCTCAAAGACTGGCTCCTCAGAATCCACCTGCAATGAGGAATTGCACGTCATGGATTTCTGCCTTCCCAGTTAGGAAGTTTCCCACACACTAAAAACAACCATTCTTACTTTCTCCTTTCTGCTCCCTGTCCTCCATTACTGTTATTTCCCATCTTCCAGAAGTGTGGAGGTTCTGGGAAAAGTCTTTTCAGATACAGGAAGAGAATTATATGCAACTTAAAAAGAACTAAGACAGATAGTATTTAAAAAACCATCGGTCACATGTTGGCCTTCCTTTCAGAACTGTATCCATTCTTGAATTTTTTTAGTCATTTCTGCAACTTCAGTTAAAATGGGAGAGGAAATCTGTTATCTTAATTAAAATTGAAATAATTTGTATTTATAGTTGCCTCTGAAACAGGAATTTCACTTTATCATCAAACATAATGCTGCGGCTTTCAAAGTATGGTCAGTCAGCATTTAAACAACTATTATGTATTAAAATCTGTGCTGTTTGTGAGTGTTTCAGATATGTAGGTGTGTGTGTGTGTGTGTGTGTGTGTGTGTGTGTGTGTGTGTGTGTACACACATACACATTTTTGGGGATGGGGAGGAACTTAGATTACACATGGCAAAGAGATAAAGACACATGCTCTCAAGTCTGTATTATGCCACTAGAAAGGCAACCGGTGTAAGAACAGCCGGGATTTTCCGAGGCAGACACCCGTGTCAGCCCTGTGCTCTCTCAGCAGTTTCTGGGCAGGTGTGATCTGAGGCACCTTTCAAAGTGCTGACTGTGACTCGAGAGCAAATAAAAACACCACCTTGCACACCATTTCCAAAGAACTGTGGTGCTCTGGAAAGCAGACATGTTCTGGCATGCTCCTTCATTTGATGCATTTATGAACTACTAAGTGCCAAGCACTGACTTCACTGAGGCTGATTACATAATAGGGACGAATCAAGCACAGTCCTTGTAGGCCAGACTTGGCCCTCATCTTCTCCACCCGTCTTGTCCTTTCAAGTGCTGGGATTATAGGTAAGGACCACCAACTACTAATTACTATACTCTTGCTGTGATTAAAATTATATAGGAAAGTAGCAGAGCTGAGACAAAAATAACAAGGACAGGATAAAAGGGTAGATTATTGAATCTACTTCAAACTAAAGAGCAACTATTAATCTCAAGTATTTTACATTGGTATGGATTTTGTGTAATGATACAAATTTAAGGTTATTTTTGTCAGAAGACACTCTATGCATGTTCCTACTCTTATTTAAGGTATTTTTGTATATTGATACAAACTGAAGATTATTTCTGTTATACTGTATATATGTTTTGACTCTTGTTAAGGTATTTTACCTATGCAGCTCATTTAAAAAATGTATAATTAAGAAATACAGTTTTAGGGCTGGAGAGATGGCTCAGAGGTTAAGAGCACTGACTGCTCTTCCAGAGGTCCTGAGTTCAATTCCCAGCAACCACATGGTGGCTCACAACCATTTGTAATGAGATCTGGCATCCTCCTCTGTATACATAATAAATAAATAAATAAATAAAAATAAAAAGACACCAAAACCAAAATCAAAACTTTAAAAAAAAAAAAAAAAAAAAAAAGAAATACAGTTTAGTAGTTAGTCATCTATAATGATCAAACTTGTAGTTATGTTAGGTATTTTTTCAAGGTTAAACAGATATATTTTAGATAGACAGGTGGTCTTCAAACACTCCAGAGACCTACAGAATATATAACATTTAAGATGTTTTAATAACCTAAGACTTTTCATGACAGTGAGACATATCTGTTCCTGGCAGCACCAAATTACTTCAAAAAACAATGATGGGCATTGAAGAACCTCCATATGGAGTTCGCTTTTATTGTGGCAAAGTTAGCATTGGGCAAGAAATTGCCCTTGCCTTGACTGCTGACAGTATGCTGTCTAAATTGGACAAGCAGGACACAAAAGAAGGTGACTGCCGAACTTTGCCAAGACAAGGTAAGACAGACAGTTCTTCAAAATTCTGCTTCACAGAAAAGTCTATCCGACATTCTAGGCCTATAGGCTGAAGATGGATGCCCCAGTGTTGCAGAGGAACCTTGAGTGACTGTCTAGGCAGCCAGTTGCTTCTGTCCTTTCTCTAGTTTTGAAGCTGTCTGCTCTGCACTTCCTGTTTACTCAGGTGATATTAGATCCTTCCCGGGTCTCTGAGGGGGCTGAAGACTAGACAGCTATGGTTACAGCTTTCCTTGTTACCAAGTTCAGAAAAGAAGCTCACAAAAGAGGTGTGAAGTGTATAAGGCTGGGAGACATGAAGGCTTAAACTGTCTATCTCAGGAAATGGTTTAAGGTCTAAAAAGACAGTCTGGGGTAGGTAATACAAATTAGGATAGAAAGTGAATTAGGCACCAAACTCTGGACTAAGATAGGATAGATTGGTTTCTCTAAACTTGCCACACACAAATGGACTTTGTGAATGTAATCCTTATTTGATAATTGTTCTTTTTTTTTTTTTTTTT